GAAAAAGGGTGAATACAGCTCTTATATCAGATCTACTGATATTCTCAAAAAAGTCTATTTATGATAGAAAAAAAATGTACACATTCAACCATTAGTATAGACTTTGTTGCATATATTAACATTAAGAAGGTTTCGATACAATCGGTAGATTTTGAATAAAAACTGTTCTGTCCAGGTTCGAGTAGAGGCGAGGTTGAAACTTCAGTTCAATCTAGCCGGCGAAATTTCAACTTTCAGCCCCAAATCACCTGTTCTCGCCCAGTATGCCTACAGATTGTATTCTCTATCTACTACTGGTATCGAAACCGATTTATTGTAACTGTAATTCCAAGACCAGATGGGCCTAAAAGTGTGGCTTTTGTCAATCCAGTAAACTCACTCTCCCTTTAGTCCACACGCCTTTGTAGTCTTCACATTGCCACACTTGCAGAGGATCTTTTTGACGCTTTTAACCACTCTTTGACATTTTCCTTTCTCCATCTTGCGGGTGTATACCTTTTTTACGGTGAATCCGTCAGCATTGCAGTGACCAATCTCCTCAACTGGTGTTGGGTCGCAACTGCATGAAACCGACGGCTTTGCTGTCGTCGTCCTTAGGCAACTGGCCGACTTTTCATCGAGCTTTATGCAAACCAGCTGCATTGCCAGCATTCCGTCTGGTTGACACTTGCCGATCGCCTGTAGCCGGCACCTAGCCTGCAAGGCGCATGGCAACGAAGTCCGTTTCACCGAGATGTTGCGAGGCACGCATCTGCCGTTGATCAACTCCTCCTTGGCGGTTGTGACAACCTTAACTGCAGATTTAGCCTCAAGTTTCGTCCTGATTACCGCCTCCTCTTTGCAACCTGTCCAAGGAAGAAATAATAATAAGGAAGATTAGTTATGAGAGGATAAACTTATTGTTTATTTAGATTTTCAGAAAAGTTTATTGGACATAATCGGTGAACTGTTCCCACCAGAGAAACAAGGAGTTATTGTGCTATGAAATTTCATTTCGAAGAAAAGTTGTTTGGACTTAATTTGTCTACCTGGAAGGCGGAGGATTACCTTAGAGTAAAGACTGTTGAATTTTCGAAGACATAAGAGGCTATCAGAACACAGAGAAACCCCAAAAGTTTTAAGAATTCTGAAATCGGAGGTGGCTAAACATGTGGTCACTGTGGGGCACCAGAA